CCAGCTTTCTTTTCTTCCTGAAGATTACGCAGATAAACTTCAATTTACATTATATCTTATTAGTTTGTTGTAGATATCATATGGCAGAAGATATCCCACGGTGGTTGATATGTGGAGCGGGAGCGGGATTGGCTGTCGATCTGGGACTATACCCTTTGGACACGATAAAAACAAGATTACAGAGTAAACAAGGTTTTTTTGCTGCAGGAGGATTCAAGCATATATACAGGTTCACCTCTTAGATATATTTTATTTTTAATATTCCTTCTGTACCTTTATTATGCCAGCTGCCTGCTTCAGCGGAATGGGATCCGTCGCAATTGGCTCCGCTCCAGGAGCAGCTCTCTTTTTCATGACCTATAGGTCTGTGAACGGATTGTTCAGGAAAGAAAGTAGGTAAATAAAGCAGCTTTATGTTTTAATCGTACCTGTTCGGAAATACGGTCATTTTCAAAGTACTAGAGCGTTTTAAATTACAAGATTCAGGAATTAAAAAGATTAATATATTTTATTATAGTTATTTATTTTGCCTTCAACTGATTGCAGACTCATTAGTCCATGCATTCTCCGCTACTATAGCCGAAGTTGTAGCATGTGCGGTACGAGTCCCTACAGAGCTTGTGAAACAACGATTGCAAGTGAGTCTTGGTTTTTTTTAACCGTGGCTTCGAATGCTCTCTTACTCTCATATTTCATTGGTTTAGGCTTCTGCCAAGCAAGCTCTTTCTGATGTTTGTCGAGAAATTTACAAATCGAATCGCTTGCGAGGGTTTTATCGAGGATATCTGAGCACTATTGCAAGAGAAATACCGTTCTCTATAATCGAGTTCCCTCTTTGGGAATTTTTGAAGATGAAATTGGCAAAGAATAGGGTAAGCGGGCTCCTTTGAGTTTGCTCAAAATGTAGTCTACATTAACATACTTTAAAAAATACTCTTATGAAAATTTCTAACTAAGTGTATTTGTGAATATTGCTATTTGCATATCAAAAACCAAGCATAGAAGAGCATACACTACATTGGTAAAGTCTCAAGTTTTTGGTCCATGTCGGCATGAATATCAATACAGTGCACGAGATTATAACCTAAAACTAGACAAACTTTAACTTTTTTTAAAACTCATCCCTTTTTTCCTTTTTTTCTAAACTTTTAACTTTTTTAATCATGTCTTATTTTTCCACAT